AGAATTTCTGAGGCAAGTTCTCTCTTGCCTCTTGCCCTGTTGTTCTGCACCTTTGTGAAGAGTGCCTCCACCTTACCTAGGAATAATTTTTAATATTTAATATTTGATTAATTTAATATAAGAAGAATGGAACTAGTTTTCCCCAAATTTCCCTTCCCCTCCTCTCCCCTCCTTTCCCTCCCCTCCCTCCCCTCCCATCCCTTCCCTTGAGTCACATTCATTGCTGCCCACCAGGAACCCCAGGGTCTTGGCCACAGAGCTGTGTCACTACCAGCCAGCTCCCAGGCTGTGGGACTGCTTGGGATTATTCCAACCCACGTGCAGATCTTTCCAGTTCTTGCTGACCTCGAGGTCTGATTACGTTTCTGTGCAGTGTGTACTCCCCTTTCCTGTGTACTCATCTCTCCTCCTGATCTGGTGTATTCCCCAAGCTCCTTCAAGAGCATGTTAGTCTCATCACCTGGACTGTCACATGTGCACACACAACACACTATCAGACCCTGCATCAACCCCCATGAGCTCACTCAGTTCAACTTTGAGCCATTAACCATCACCCTTTCAGCTCTACTTAGCCAATTTCCCATGAAATTTGTGGCCTACCTACCCCATCTGTATCCTAACAGTTTGCCAGCAAGGTGGTCGGGACAGGCTATGTCAAATACCTTGTAAAATACCAAGGTTTGACACCCACAGGTCTCCCTGCACCCCCTTGGCATGTTCCATCTCAGAGGGCAATGAGGTTATGCATTGTCTACTCTTGGTAAATCTGACTTGGCTTGTCCCAGCCACCCTCTCGCCCTTCACATGTAAGCAAACAGCTTCCATGAGCGCATGCTACGTACTGTTTCCAGGGTGTGCTCACCAGCCTGCAGTTTCTTGCTTCTTTCTTTTCAGAGATAGGAATACTACTTGTTCTCTTCCTGTTGTCCAGGACATTCCCCTGGTTTCTAGGACCTTTCAAAAATGATAAAGAGGCTTTGCAATGGCATCAGCAAGCTCTCAGCACTCTCAAATACACCCATGCAGGTCCCACAGATCTTTCTTTATATATATATATCTCTCTAGTTTGAACAGAGAACCCAAGCCCTTGGTACTACTATTGGTGATTGCCCTTTGGCCAGTGCTGGTAGTTATGCCTGTACATAGGTCTTTAAAACCTTGGTTAAAACAATTCCAAGGCACTTCTTAGTTTGCTTAAATCTTCAGCAACTGAAACCAGGTAAGTGTATGGAAATAATCAGTTCTCACAGATATTAGAACTAGCTTTCAAGTTTGTGTAGAAGTATTTAAAGTGATCTGAAGGTGATAAAAAAAATAAGCCTTAAATCTATCTTTGTTTTTAATCTTATAGTCATTTGATACCTGACAGATACTTTAATTGCTTGGCAGTAATATGAAGAAATTATTTCCTACCTGATATATATATATTACAAATGTAGTAAATTACATTGTTAACTTTACTTGTCTAGGTAAGTGACTACTTAAAAAATACTATGAAACTTCAGAGATCTAAAGACACATTATCAGGATAACAGATTATGCAATTTACATCTATTAAGTCCATACCACTTTCAGAGTGAGCTCAGGTCACAAAAACAGTAAAGTAGTGCTCAAACGACTGTAAAATGGCTTTGCTTCCTAAAATGTCTGTAGGACAGGTCTGGACCTCAGCTGCAGCTTTATGCGGCTATGTGCAGGGCTAATGAGATCTTTAAATAAGAAAATAGGCTTTCACCCCTTTCTGCAAGATGTACTGTTTGCTCAATGTTAGCAACAATTAAAACCAGGCACAGAATAGTCTAGTTTTGAAAGAGACTTTTAGAGACTTTTAGGGGTCATTGAATTCAACCTCTTACTCAAAGCATGGGTCCAGCTGTGGGCAACTGCATCACGACATGAACAAGTAGGATTGCGATTTATCACCCTATGGAATAATATCCCACTTCACACAGAAGTCAGCTGGCACAGCGAAAACAAATGGCTAATCCTAAACCATAGTAAATGAAATGCATGTTTAAACACACTTCAGTGATCATATTTTAAGGGATTTGAGGCTAGATCCCACTAATAACCCTTGTATAAATAATTAATTATTGTGACTTGCCCCCAAAGAGTAGTTGGGGTTTTTTATCCTGTATACATAAAGTTCTGTCTCTCAGCAAGTTTTTAATGGCACAGAAAAAAGATTGATGGAATGAGAGAGCTTCAGGGGAAGTGAGGGAAAATAAATTTGCTGTATGGAGTGAAATTAGACTGCCATTTAACATACAAAATAGTAAGTATAATTTTGCATGCCTTGTAATGTGAGGAAAGATACACAATGCCCTTTTGACTGAAAAGCAAGGGCTGAAATGCAGGATAATTTAAAGCACCATTTAAAATTAGGTTCTAAAATTAGAAGACAGAAAAGATTACGATTACTATATTTTCCATGTGTACTGCAGTTGTCTCCTTCACTGGTTTCCATTAAAACGGAGTCAGGAAACCATTCCATCTCTTAGCCTAAATATGACTTATTAAAATGAACAGCAAAAGGATGCATTATAAATATCGATATTTAAATACTGTGGTTTGATGGAAATGCATTTGAACGTTTTATGTTTACATTTTGTCATGTTAAAATAGATTGCTTGTCTCATTTCAGACAGCTTTTTATGCATTGAGTTAGAATCACCTTAATCATAAATTATAAACATCAAGATAGTGCTTTGCAACTTGTTTAATTAACTAAACTGTATTTCGAGTGCGGTGGATTGGAAAAAGGTCAGTTTATCAAAACATTCAAACTTAAATTTTATGGCCTACCAGGAAGGTTAATAGAATTTGTAAGTAAGTAGAGATGATTGGTTTTGCATGTCTATCCACAACTTGAAAGTTATAGAATTAGTAGCCCTTGCCCTCTACCTCTACTTTATTTGGAACTGGAAAGAAAATTTGGATTATTCCAAATTCTGTGTTGCTTCAGAACTCTGAATGAACAGCTCACTGAGCTGAAATAGTTCACCTGAAATGATGAAAAACACCTCTCTGAACTTGCATGGAAGAATGCCTGGAAAAGGCATTAATGATAAAAGGTATAGTAAGAATAGAAGGTATTTCTATGAAATGAAGTGGTCTTTGGCCATTTTTAGTACAGGGAATGCCAACACAGCTTGTTGTATTGTCCTCACACCAGTAGTCCTGCCTGTGGGGCAGGGCTGGAGGGAGATCGTGGAGTCTTTTTCCTCAGTGATGCCCACATAGCAGAATGGAAGTATTCTAGTTCTGCAACAGCTTGTCCTGACTGACAACTGCCCTTTGCCTGGTGCCTGTAACAAGCTCCTCTTCTGTCCCATCTCCCCCACCCTACGCTGCTCCCTGCTGTCCAGACTTCTCCGCCAGGTCTGTCACTATCCCTGCTCTGTCCCAGCCCACCACACCCCACCCCACCCTCCTGCCTTGGTCCCTCTACATCCACACACACCCTCCCCAGACTACCCCTGCTGGCCCATGTTGAGGATATAGAGCCAAGCCACAATGACAAGCACTTCCCAACAAGTTTGTTTACTTCACTGGGGTGGAGGACATGTGCCTGTGTCTTTCGGAGTCAGGAACTCCACCTTGCTAGCATTTTGAGCAGAGTGAAGAACCATGCTTTTAACATGGCTATTTCCACAGCCACCATAAATTAGCCAGATTCTTCTCCAAGCTTCTCCTGTCACAACTGCTCTCCTTTTCCATCTTAGTTTTCCATCTACTTGCTCTCCTGAAGAAAAAGGTTACCAGTAGGGAAGGAGACAGAGTACCCTGCGTTACAGCCTGCCATCAGAAAATGATTATCGTGATCACCACATCCAAACTACAGAAGGAAACAGAAGCAGGAGCTAGAGAATGCTAGAGATAGTGCCTCTAGCCTCCAGGATGTTCTAGCCCCTTTTGCTTGTTCCCAGAAGTTGGACTTGATGATTGTTGTGTATCCATTCCAATTCAGGATATTCTGTGATTCTATGACTCAGTTGAACTGTCTCACAACAGCCCTCTTTCTGAAACATAGGGAAGTTTCCAAGCCCTATTTCTAAGATCTGTTAGAATAACAAACATTTTATTTTTGTCTCTGTGTTACAGAAAGCAAAGAAAATGCAACTATCCTTAGTACAAGCACAATTTCAAGCGTGGAAAAATAATCAAAGATCCTTAGATCTTTCACGTCTCTTCAAATCATATGGAACAAATGTTTACAGCTAATTCCACGTGACATTTTATTTTCTTCCAGGGAGAAATTAGATTTCACAGTTGAAGGAGCTGAGCTACATCCAGTAAAAAAGGAGGTTTATCATACCTTGCAATTCTCTAGGTAGGCAGAAATTTATACATGGTACAGGCCACTCGCTGCACTTTCTGCCCTGAAGGATCATCCACCCCTTCAGCACAGCCAGGTGGTCAGTGCAAGCACATACTGACTCAGCAAAGAGACTCTGCAAACAGAGGAATGGCAGCCTGCACAGGGAAAAGGCAGTACAGCACAGGCGTATTTTATTCCTGGAGATGTAACCTCATTTAAAAAGGGGGAAAAAAAACCCCAGAAATAAAAGAGTTGAACATTTCATTTGGTAGAATTTCAGCTGTTGTGATTTCTTTTCCAAAGACAAAAGAAGAAGAACATTGTGCAGTGGATCTGGCCAGGAAGTAGTTTAGTTTCACTGACAAGACTTTTTTTAGAGACTGACATTTTTTTTTCTGTCTTGAACTGTAATGAGAAGTCAAAATCTGGATAACATTTCTTTAAACTTGAGCCAGAGCACTACAGTAATGAAGTGGCTTATATATGCTGCAATGTAAGCAGCTGCTCCCTCAAAGGCTGAATACTCAGTATTCTCTTTCAGAGAACCAAAGGATGTAATACTTTTATAGGCTTTTTTGAGTCTTTTAGGTGTTTCTTTTAACCTGTGCTTTTAACCTTCTATTGCATCCTAGAACTAGGTCATGTGCTTGCCACAGGTACACTGACAGAGGCAGAAGACATGCTATTAGATCACCTGGTGATCAAGTATGTAAATTACTATGCCAGGGCATATCCAAAGACACTGACTACCTAAATTGAACAGAATATTGTTTTCAGTTAATCACATTAAAACAAAGGGTATGTGTCTTTTCCCATATCAAGGAAATAAAATTTTAACTTTTATATTTAACTCTATTTATAATTACATTTTATAAATATATTTAATAAAACTTGTAGGCATTTACTAATTATTTCATAATTGTATTTGATATATTTTATATCCCTGTATTTTTAATAGTGTTTATTTATTAATGTGTTGCAAGGTACAGTTTAAAGAACATAATCTTCTAATATTTAAATGAAATTACATACTGTGATAAATCCCTTTGTCTGTACTCATTTCTTGGCACAATTTTGTCAAATCCCAAGATCGTTTTGTTAGTGTTTCCATGGGTAGAAATGGAAGTAATTTGCCTTTTTTCTAAGCCCCACTAAGAGTAGACTGTAGTCATTCCACATGGCTTCGGTTGATCCTCTCTGAGCTCTCAGTGGTCACAGTGTTAGAGCTGATGTGGATTAGACATCTAATCTCACATGAGCAATGTTATCAGTCCTGCTAGTTCAGGCAATTGCTCTGATTAATTCAAGCAGCAGTAGGCTAAGAAATTTTGTGAAGATCATGCAGTGGCAACCCCAGAAAAAGGACCTGCAAACAATGCTTTAAAATAAAGTAACTGAAATTCTATCTCACTTGTTGGAATTGAGGAAGAAAGAAGATACCGGATTTGGAGAGAAAACATGGAAAATTCCTAGGAAGAAGAGAATTCAATTTAAACTTCTCTGTTATCTACTGTGGACATATTAATCGTTTTTGAGTTCTTGAATAAATGTTGTATTATCCCTGTATTCTGTGATCTTATATTTTATGAAAATTCCCTTAGTTTTACTCTCAATTATAATCCTATTTTTCTATTGGTTAATTTATGCCATATTACAGTTTTTTCCTCATGAAGTAATCTCCTCCCATGTTTTTCCTTACAGAGTCATAGCCATCTCCCGATCTTCCTTATATAGCTTTAATCTGCATGTTCCTACCCTGTTACACCCCCAGTTCCAGAAAGTTCTGCTCTCACCCTATATAAGGCAGGAGCCAGTTAATAAAGCACCTACTTGCCTTACACTCACCCCCTGAGTAGGTTGTCTTTCTCCTTGTCAAATGCAACAGTCACTTTTCCTTTTTCCTGGCCTCCAGTACTCCAGTGAGTCCCATGAACTTCAGTGAGTTGGAGCTAAAGACTGGGTATTTCCTAGTGTAAGGGGAAAAAACCCACATATGCTCTTACAAAACATGAGAGTTCTTACTGCTCCACTGTGGGAGTGACAAGGTTTTTATATGTTTATATTTTCTATCAAACCTAATATTTTATTTGCAAAGACAGCGTAGCCAGATACCCATGCACAGTATGAGCAAAGCCCTCCCCTCTTTTCTTCTTCTTAGTGTTTCTACAAGATACTTGCTACTTTCTGGGTTCAGGTAGGATTCAGTGGATAGATCAAGTGAGTGTGATGAGCCTCATGCAAATTTTCTCTTTCTGCTGGACTCTCATTAGTTGGCAGGAACATAAAGCACGTTACTAAGCACAGCACTTCCCCTTGGAGCCCCAGAAATAAAGAGCAAAGGACGTGACCTTCTTTCTTCACACTTTAGTAAGATAACCTGAAACCATATTAAACTTGTAGAGATATGATGGATTTCATCCTTCTTGGCATCTTCTTACTCTGTGATTACCAAGGCTAAGAAAAAATATTTAGATGTAAATATATGTGCATATATACATCCTGCAAGAACATTTTTAATTTTTAATCTTTTCTTTATATACAGTTTCATAAATGTGCATTTGTTTCATCTGAAAGAAAGAAATGAGAAATTTCAGTGTAGGGAACACATTGTCAGCACCAGATATGGTTTCCTGGTCTGCAAATAGAAGAGTTTTGTTTTTTTGTTGTCATTCTCTTAGCTGCTGTAATGACTTCTGTGTTATGCTGCAGATGTAAGACATTTGTAGATAGAGCAGACTGTGCTCTTTGCCAGAAAGAGTGCATATCTTTAAAAGGAGTGATCCTCAAGCAATAAAGTAACAGAGATGCCTTGTTTAGAACCACAGTACATCTGTAGCTTAATTTTTGTATACTATGATTGTTTCTACCAAGTTAATAAGCTAAATAACGTTGTTTGTTTAAACAGTATTCATCATGGCTAAACACATCCTTTATGTAAATATATTACTAGAAAATTTTATAAAACATGTAGAGGAGAATGACATTATATTCATTCTTACAGTCTCTGTAGTTGGTGTTGTTATGTCAATTAATAGCAGCAAAAAAAGATAATTGTAATGTTATTTTAGGAAAGTATAATGGAGAAAAAAAATTCTAGAAGAACTCCTTTCAAAGAAGTCACAACAGAAATAAAAAATAACCCACATCAAAACCCTGAGATGAGCTGAGTTTGTTAGAACATGGTGGTAATAATGTCAAGGTTGTGGGCTCCAACTCTGTATGGGCCTTTTACTTAAGAGCTGGACTGGATGTTCCTTGTGGGTCCCTTCCAATGCAGAATATTCTGTGATTCTGTGAAGTGATGTGGTCATTAAATTACAAGAAAAGGTTGTTTGTTCTGTCAAAAGCAAACATTTCTTATGAATATGACAAAGGGTAAGAAGTAATTTTTTTTTAAGTAAACTGTTTAAGATTGTCCAGTGCCACACCAGTTTTCTTCTGTGAAACATGATTGGATATTATGTATTAGAACAATATGCGTACTTTGTTTTGAGTAGAATTATAGGATATCAAATTCTAGTTTCAGCTCAAGAAAACACTTACTCACAGGCTTATGAGTGTTTATATTCAGAACGAGCCTCACAGTTGTGCTTGCTATTGAGCATCTGTTTGTGTCCTTCCAAAGAGAATTTAAGCAAGTAATTAACATTGACATATGTTTACACACTGTCTTGAATAGGGATGTTTTCCTCGCTGAGGCTTCGCTCTGAACTGATGTAAATAACTGGCGTCAGAAGTTACTTGTATGAGGCATAATTACTTCAGAATCTCATCCCTCAGCTGCACAAGGCAGATGGTTAAACTATCCTTGTTTCCTAAGGAGTGACTATATAGCACAAAAGTGTGGCTTTTCAAAAGATCTCCTGTTGGGAATGCAAATATATTTTTCAGGCAGCTTTAATTTTTTTGCTCCTTTTCATACTTTAGGACTCATCCTGTGAGGTACATCCCATTACAAAACCGCAGGGAAGCTCAGTGAGAGTAAGCTCCATTACCATAAAAAAATTATGAATGTCACAGCCAGGCTTTTGGGTTGCACTTAAGGTGTTCTCCTCTTAACTCCTCCTTCTTTTTCTCTTAGTCCCCTCTTCTGCCTTGTACTCCTGTAGTTGCAGCAGATGCTTTCTCAGATGTAGGGCTGCGTCCTGTTATTTTTGTAACTGATTTCAAAAGGAATTTGATCCATATACTAGATGCAGGTAGGGCACCAAGGAGGTTTTTACTACCTTTCTTTCAAAATTTAATAAGCCTGAATGTGTGCCTTATAGAGTTTGAAATATAAAACTGTACAAACTCATCAAACTAAAATACTTTATATTGTGTTAATATTAGTTTACAGTCTGCTGTGTTTTACTCTCTTAGAGAAAAGGAAGCAAGAGGTGATCAATTGAGATTTAGAACATCCGATGTGCTGAGACAATGAATCTTGAGGAATCAACAACACCTCCTGCAAGACAATACTTTTCAGGTTAACCATGAAATTTGTTTAATTTACATTTCTTCAGAAATATGTCAGTCATGCTAAGGTTACACTTTATGTTCTTGTCCTAACCTAATGTTGCTGAATCCTACCAATACTGGTACTTAATGGTTGGTCACAATGATCTTAAAGGTCTTTTCCAACCTAAGTGATTCTGTGATTCTGTGATATTTACAGCAAATACTAAACCAATCCATTACTGACGCTGTGATTTTGCTGGAATAATTGACTGTGATAGAATTTAGATCAAGTCTTGTTTCTCTTACATTCAAAATTCTACTAGATATTTGTTTTAATATTATCTGATATGTATGTGCGTGATTATCACTTATTTTAAAGCATAATTACATGTACAATTCTTATTTTAATTCTCACTGTCTCATTTGCCTTCTCTTTTTTGGCCACAACACTAAGAGCAGACTCTGCCCCCTAACTACATGATTACCTCTCAAATGTGCCACAGTCAGGAAATCCAAGGCTGTGCTTTATATCAGAATATGCAGCTGCACAAAGCACTATACTTGCTCAAGAATTAAATGCCATGAGAAAAGCGTAACTTTAAATTTGCTCCATTTCATCTCTTTCAGTTGCCCTGCTCAGATTCCTCCTAGAGCCTCTATCAATCCCAATTCTATGGGCAGTGGGACATGCAGATGTGAGAAGTGGCCAAAGATCCCCTCCTGGAGTGCCATGGACAAACCTTGCCACAGCAAGCAGCAGGCTGCTAGAGTAACAGGGTTGCTGAATAATGCATTAATTCATGACCCTGCAAGAACTGACTTGCCCAAGGGCAACCTCATGACAGGTCTGTAACATTTATCTGCCTGGTTGATCTGAGGTGTCATTCCAATCTCGCTTTCCCTTCTCCCTCACCCTGTGCTGTGTCACTGAATGACACAGTTATGTTAAATTAGTGTATTTATGTCAGGAGTGCATAATTCAATTAAGTGGGGAAAAGTGTATGCTATAGTTTAAGGAATGGAGGCTCGGAAAACAGCATCTCTAAAAGAGCCTTTAGGATTGTGATAGCTGAACATAAATTTCCACTGTGATGCTGTGGCCAAAGGAGCTAATGGCATCCTTGGACATGGAAGCAGGCACGTATTGAGTAAAAGCACTCAACATGTTTTGACACTGCCGTGATCACCAGGAGAATATTGTGTCTAGTTCTGGTGGCTAAATTGAAGAAAGATGTTGTAAGTTGAACAGAGGTCAAAGGAGAGACTTGACAGTGACTAATAGATGGGTGGATAACCTGTTAAAGAGAAAAGCTCACAGGGTTCCATCCTTTAACTAAATAAGGAGACAGAAAGCAAATTGATCAGATGTGTGCACTTACCAGTGAGAGTAAACATTTAATAACAGAGCTCTTTGGGCTAACAAACAAAAACAATAACAAAAGCAATCGGAGTTCAGGGCAGATGACTGAAAAGCAATGTACACAAGGGAAATGAAACCCTGACCTAACACAGACACACGCACAGAGTCAGCCCAGTACTGAACAAGATCTAAAAAGCAAAGCAGATGTTAGTAATTATTAGGTAGGCATCAAAGGACGATAGGAAGATAGTAAAACAAGCTGACTATTCATATTGGGTAGTTAAGCTGTAGGCTACTTACTGAAAGATGTTATAGATGCTAGTTATTTGTTTAAAAAGGCAACTAAATGAATTCACAGAAGAAATATACCTCTCAAAGGGTATTAGGTATAACTGCGTCACCTTTGGATCAGGATTCTCTGATACTGTACAGCTGCCCTGAGCATATACTTTGCCTCAGTATTTGTTAGTGGATGCTGTCAGAGACAGGCTCCTGCACTTGGTGAGCGTTTGTCTGGCCTTGTGTAACACAAGCCAGAAGCTGGAGGATGAATGTGGAAAAATCGAAGTGGAAAGAAAGAGTTCACATGTGGACTATAAGGTCTCTTGTACACAGATGATGGGAATATCCAGAAATACTTGATGCCATCCTTTGTTTCTGCAGCTTTTCTTTAGGACACTTTGGTTAAGAAAGTATTATTTTTATTTATACTTACACCTTTCCACGTATGTGCTAAACTTCTTTTAACACCATGGCTGCTATACAATGTAGCTTACAGTATAACTAGGGGAAATAATACACCAAATTCTGTCTGCAGTATTTGATCAAAAAGTTAGTGACATTTTTAGCTACAAAATAAACCAGATGGAATTATTTTTGTCTTTATTCTTAATATCTAGCTAAATTCCAGTCTTTTGTTGTAAGACCATTCTAGTGCTTATGTCTCATAAACTGGATGGGTGGGAACAATAGAAATTCAGCACAGGAGAATATATGGATGAGTGTAAAACTACAGTTTTAGAAGCTAAATCTTATATTAATGTATTTTCTCTAAACAATGTTATTTCTTTTGCATAATTTATTATAACATGCTTTTCTGAACTATTTTCTGTACAATTTAGTTGCAATTATTTCAGGATTTTAGTTTTAATCTGTAAAGACTGAGACAGGAAAATTTGTCCAACAGTACCCTCCAAGATGCAACTTTTTCAGAAGGCAATTCTCTCGTATCTGTGTACATACTTGACAGTGAAACACCATGCTTGGTAGAGGGCACAGAAGTTTATGAGTGTTTGGGCTTCAGCCTTTTAAGGCTTGATTTTTTAAAAACTTGGTCTTAGTCATTTACACTCAAAAACTAAAAAGTATGAACCCGAAATTAAAAATTAATCCAAAAATATAGATGTGAACAATTGGGAACCTAATTTAGAATTGTGAGACTTGCTGTATCAGGCATTTCCTTTTGAAAATTGAAATTAATCATACAGGCCTATCTACTACTACCACAGGTTTCATCAGTATGGAACACTTAATAATGTACAGAATTGTCAACTGATTTGTAACACTAATTTGAATACCTTCATATGGCTTCAAAACCACTTGTCACAGCAGCAAAAAGGCTGTGAAACCCCCAGTCAGTTGCAAGGGCAAAGAAAATACCTCCTTACAGTCATGGATGGCTTAGACAAGAAAAGAACTCAAAAGAGAATTTTTTTATATTGAACTCTTTGTTTACGTCAGAAAACAACAGGCATGATAATGTGCTGTATCTACTCTAAATGTGTTCCTAAATAGGTTCCTGATGTTGCTAACAGAGATGTATGTGTAGAGCACAGTTAGACTGTCTCTGTAGGGATGGAGCCAAACAGCCTCGAACCAGTGACCACTGGGTAACTGAAAGAAATATTTCTTAATAATTTGTGATTCAGAGACTAAAAGTGCCGATGTAAAAAACTTCAACAAAGTTAAAGCTGGCTGAACATAAGCCAGCAGTGTGCCCAGGTGACCAAGAAGGCCAATGGCATCCCAGCCTGTATCAGCAATAGTGTGACCAGCAGGACCAGGGCAGTAATTGTCCCCCTGTACTGGGCATGAGTGAGGCTGTACCTTGATTCCTATGTCCTGTTCTGAGCCTCTCGATGCAAAAACGACACTGAAGTGCTGGAGCGTGTCCAGAGAAGGGCAATGGAGCTGGTGAAGGGTCTGGAACACAAATCTTATAAGGAGCAGCTGAGGGATCTGGGTTTGTTTAGCCTGGAGAAAAGGAGGGTCAGGGGAAACCTTATCACTCTCTACAAGTACCTGAAAGGAGCTTGTAGCCAAGTGGGGGTCAGTCTCTTCTTCCAGGTAACAAGAGACACAATGAGAAGAAATTACCTCGAGTTGTATATGAAGAGGTATAGAGATGCATGTTAGGAAAATTTTCTTCATGGAAAGGTTTGTCAAGCTCTGGAACGGGATGCCCAGGGAAGTGATAGAGTCACCATCCCTGGAGGTATTTAAAAGGCATGTAGATGTGGTGCTTAGGAACATAGTTTAATGGTGTACTTGGCAGTGCTGGGTTAATGGTTGGATTTGATGATCTCAGAGGTCTTTTCCAACCTTAAAGGTTCCATGATTCTAAATAAACTGGGAAGATCACAGAGCTAAATGAACTGGAAATTTCCGTGGATTGTTTTTACATGAATGTAAACAATGTTGAAGGGGTTTGTAAAGATACTGAGATGGTTATTAAATTAAAATAAGGTTGGAAAATACAGAGCTAAAGCATGTTGATACCTTGGGCAGGTTAAAAGTCAGCTGTCATAGTGCTGTTTTTGCCACTGTACAGATCTGCAAGTGAGACAGCCTCAAGAGGCAAAGCATTATTTAAATTCCTGCTTTTTTTCTTTAATTCTTCCTTTCTTCTGGATGGGATTCTGTGCTGTACAACTGGGTCTGTGAAACCACTGCCTCCAGTCCTACAAACTCTGGTAGGTGAAAATGTTTTTGTGTCTGGCTACAGGGAAAGAGCAAGCATCCAGGTGATAGGGAGGGCTGTGGGATGAGATGGAGAATTTCAAACAGCTGCTCACTGGAAGCTGGTGTAGACCTCTAATCTACTGTAAAGTTTCAGCATCCTTGTGCCCACCAGTGTCTCAGAGGAAGGGTTCATCTCCCTGCTTCCTGTGGTGAACGTGGAAAGTCTCAGCCATGTTCAGTTCACTTTAATATGCAGTGCTGGCTACAGCCATTGTAGAAACACCTATAAAATAAAAGGCTTATGTCCAGTGGGATCAGGTTATACCATCAAAATTAGCTCTCTAGTGAGTAGGAGGTCCCCATTCCTAGAGATCCTAGGTTTTTCCTCTGCCACCCTCCTAAGTGAAAACAGTGCTTGGGAAAACATTATAACTGAAAGTATGAACAGATATACCTGCTCTACCTGGCTGAGAAATGGTGATGAACCGTATTTTTCTCAGGCAAATCCCAAGTTACCCTTCTCTGGGGTTGGGTCAAGAGTACAGATGCCTATTTAGGAATGTCTGTTTAGCCCACCTTCCCAGAGGCAGCCTCTAAGTTATTGAATTGGGAAGTGCTTCTGAGGTCTTTATGTGCTCTTGCTTATAACTCTTGACTTATATCAGGCAAAAACCCAAGAGTGTGGTGTCCCACCAGCACCCACTGGGCCTTATTGTCCATATGAGAAAGGCAGGCTTTCACAGACCTAAAGAGACAAACAGGACACCAGGCTGACAAAAAATACTACTGTGCTCAGTTCAACCTCAGTCCTCTAGCACAGCAGTACCTTGATAAAGAAGGTCAAGAGTTGTCGGGGTTAAGAATAAAAGTAAACTGTAAGATCTGCTTCTATGTTTGTTTCCTCATCTATCTCCTCCTGGACAAAGGCAACATCTGACCTTAGTTTTACTGCCCAATTTAATTATTGACATTTGTAGGTGGGAAGGAGGTAACAACAACAATGACAAGAGAACTCACTAAAGTGGCATAAGTCTTCATGATATTTTTATCTTTTAAAGAAAGGACTAGCAATTTGGTCTGACTGTGTATGCACACATTGTTACGCAGCCTCTAACAAGTTAAACCAAATTGTGTTTCAAATAATGAGATTTTAAAATCCGTATTTCCTGCTTTATTTTGTCTTCTGTTCTGTATCTTTAGATCTGGCTCTATTTCCGAGTTTCTGTCTCTTAATCAGAAAGTAACTTAAAGAAAAAAAAGAAAGAAAAAGCTAGAATTTTATTTATGCAGTTAATATGAACAGCCATGACTTTAAGAAACACAAAGGTTGACAAAAGACAAGATATAAATCACAAGAGAAGATACAAATCACAAGAGCTGTACAATGGAACTTTAAGAAAACATAATAAAAAAGGCTTGGAAAGAAGCTAGGAACAAAAAGGATTTTGACTCTTTTTTTTCCTGATGTTGAGATTTGAAAGCAATAGCATTGTGAACACGCAGCAGCATAACTTGTTTTGAATATCATGGTCTGTTATGCCTGGGTTCCATCAGGAGATGCTTTGTCTATATGGAGAGATCATCAGTCATGGAAATCTGCTGCTGAACATTCTGAGGTTCTGCTAAGCCTTTGTGATTTCCTTTTATTATCTACTTCAGTTTAGAGGAGATATTTTGAAAGGGAAACTTAAAAAGCAGGGACATGACAGTTTTCTGATAGGTACTTCTAAAACAGGTTCAGTAAATGAAGATAAAATAATTACCACATCTGCGTAGAACGACTTGACTTCATTTTCCGAAGCCATATGATATAATCAGGTTAGAAAGGCCAATACTGACTTCTCGTGGTGAGGAACAGTCTATATTTAGTCACAGAACTGCTTGTATAAGCTCTCAGCACATTTTTACTTTGTCCTTTCATGTACTCCTTTTGATCATCAGAGGTATCACTGTGCCCCCAGCCCTCCTACTGCCTACCTCAGTTTGTGTCACTCACCTCTCCAGCCTCTGCAAGGCTTTCTCCCTTCTTTCTTTCCAGCTGACCCGAGGTGTTACTTTTGCATGAGGCATTACTTTTGCACACTCATGTCCTGCACCTTTGATACCTCTATTTCTTTCATCAGTTCACCATTATAGCTCTAGTCTCCCACAGAGGAGCTGGTTCCTGAAGCATGGTGCCATTACAAGGAATACTGGGCACAAAAGGTCACTCCATGGGAAGCAGAGGGCACTTCCTCTTGGCTTTGATATCAGCAGGAAGCAGGAGCTTTCTGCCTAAGAAATACTTTCACCTCGGCTGGTGCCTGACATCTACCATCTTTTCAATGGAAAATGGTTCATGTAGGTCAGACCAACACTGCAGTAGATCAGATGGAAGTTCACTGAGTGCACACACATATTGTCTCATTATTAGGTATTGGACAAGCTTTATGGGAGCTGAAGTGATTTAGCACATGCTTCCAGCCATATGATAGGGGTGCAGTTTTGCAGATAATAACTGTTCCTCATATGCACATCACAGCTGAATCTCAGACCATCCCCTATGGCTTTCCTTAGATGATAGTGGCACAATCACCAATACAAAACCCACAGTAATACCACTGCCAGCATAAAGGAAATAACAAACCCCACTCAGTTACTCTTAGGAAGTGTTCTGGGGCTTTCAGCCAGTTTTGGACGTGGAAAGCTGTATAAACGGATACAAATCAGGATCTTAATCTCTACCAGATTACAGTTGAACTCTGTCTAGAATATTGCAACAGTCAAATATACATCCAGCAGTGAAACACAAACCTGATGTGCTCATCTTGGACTGGTTCTTTTCCTTGGCAGGTTGGACAAAGCAAAATAAATTTCCATGATAATAATTCTTTATACCATTTACTTTGGCCAATGTTTTGCAGTTTCTTCTGTTCATCCAAAAAGATGAAACCTCCATCAGAGGATAACACTCTGATCACTTCACAAAAAAATCCCCCACAACAAAACAATCCCCTCCACCAAAAAAAAAAAAAAAAAAAAAAAAAAAAAAAAAAAAAAAAAAAA